GAAGTTCACGAAAGAGAGAGGTTTACCACAACTTTTGGTACCAAAACCCCCGACATATGTAACACCGGTTTCTTACGGGAAACTCAAAGTTAAGGATTACTTGAGTTTAGAGGACGTGTTGACACAAATGAAGCCAATCGTCACCGAAAAGCCACAACACATGGAGTTATTAAACATCACAAAAAATACGGGACAACACTATGGGTTCATTCTCTATAGACTCAATAAACTCAACAAATTTAAACATTTGAAACTCACCGGTAATTACGAGTTAATTAAATAATTATTTTATAATTTCCATATTAATGTGTTTTAATTACATTTGTATAAACAGGTGGTGCCGATGATCGGGCAGTCATTCTGGTGGACCACAAAGAGGTCGCTGTCTTCGAGAGTAATAAAGATTATAATCACGACTTAAATGACACACAATTTGCAAACACAACGACTCATACGTTGGATATAATCGTCGAAAACATGGGTCGAACCAATGGTGGAGGTATGGAGACCGCCCGAAGAGGTCTTAACGGAGATATCAGTATTGATGCAAAAGTTGCCACAAATATCGAGACATTTTCGCTTGATTTCAAAGAACCATTTGTTAAACAATTAACTCAATTGAAGGGAAAGCCGTTCGTTGAGGGCCTCAAAAGTCCAGCCGTTTATCGGTTTGAATTGGGTATTAAGGACAGTCCGAGGGATACATTCATACGACTGGACGGTTGGTCGAAGGGAAATGTATTTATCAACGATTTCAATATAGGCCGCTATTATAACATAGGACCCCAACTGACACTGTATATCCCTGCACCGTTACTAAAAACGGGCAAAAATGAGATATTAGTGTTTGAATTGCATTCATCGACCGGCCAGGTTGAATTTGTTGATACCCCACATTTGGGATAAATGCTTAAAATATTAAAATATAAACTTAATATCAAATCAATAAAATTTATTTAACTATTGATTTAGTTTTGTTATGTATTAAAAGTTTAAACGATAAAAAATAAAACTAATAACAATAAGTATAAAGTTTATTATGATTACATAATCTTATTTGCTTAACCTGCTTTCTAAGTACGGAATATTCCTTATATTAAATAACATAAGGTATAAGTCATGTAAAGTGATACTAGGTTGACCATGGTCGCGCGCGGTAATTCCTGGACCATTATTGTAGGAAATGGATTAGATTTAAAGTGCATTTCCTTCTCTATAAGATAATATAAATTTCATAATTTTAAGACTAATATTAGTTATAAATATATTGTCTGAAAGAAAAGGTCATCCAAAATGAGTTGTGCATTCCCTATACAAATAATGCCAACAATACAACATTGTAAACAATTATATGTTAAATATAGCAAACTTAAAGCAGATCCAGAGAATAATCCTAAGAGTTATTATTAACTTATGTAATAAAACTTATTAAATTACACCTGTTAATTTAGATTATGATGTAAAAATCGAAATTATTTAATTAAATTCTGGATTATTTGTATCAAATTAAAGTGCAAACATTTTAATTAATAGCTCCCGAAGAATCGAGAAGAATATCTGTTCCAATGGTGCCGATCACCAAAATGGACATATACCGTGTGTTCATTATGTTACGGATGGATTGGAGAGCTTATCACTTCAAAACTATAATAGATAGAAAATCAAACTAAACGTGACTTAAAAGAGGAAAGTATAGCATTTTATAATAACTATTAATCAAATCTGAGCTAGTTCAATTAATAATTAATTTATAAGCAATCTTACAGACAATGGTTACAGGAACAATCAAGAGAGCTAGATGAAA